TAAAAGTACGGTGTCTATTACAGTGTGTTAGCTTCTCAGGACCAAGAAAATTCTGTTGTTTCCCACCTGCTAGTAAAGTGAAGCCGGTTATCGCTAAGTTAGCTAACATCCCCCCTCCCCTTCAGACTGCGCAGCTGAGCAGGAAAGCTTCTGCAGCAGCTACATAGCTACTATGTAACTTAACATTAGCTCAATTTATAGAAAGTAACTGGAAGCTGTATTTTATTACTGCCTACTTGTCCAATGTTGAGAACATCAGGTACAAACTTCGACTAAACTGACATAGCCTGCAGCTCTGTCCTGTACAGACTGATTAAATTATTTTTCAGTTTTCAGTCTGAAAAAGAAAGGACAGTGGTGACTGGAGGAGCTGATTAGCTAATTACTGATGCAAAGTAGTCCTTTTATGCTAATGAGGAGACGTTTCTTTTTGGATTTTAATGTGCAAATAAAATGCATCACTGACCCCTATTTTACCTCAGATATGTTAAGATATCGACTGTTTGGCAAATGTTCATCATGTTCTGACCATAAACAATAGTTTAAAACCAAAATTAACCACCTAGTTTCTTTAACTTTCACTCAGGAGCAAAAATTATTGTGAAAACATTTTTAGCCATATCACCGAGCCCTAGTTAGCATGTAGATTAATCTCACCAAAATATGTGTCTTCTTCATATTTCCATATCCCACTGTATCCCAAAGAATTACTTCAAATTTGCTTAGCATAACACAATTACATTTGGAATGTTAAACGCTCACCAGGGATAGTGTGCACCTCATCCAGGATAATGAGTCCCCACTCCTGGCTCCGCATCCACTCCATGACCCTCTCAGCCTCCCAGGAGCGCTTGGTGGTGTGACCCAGCATAGAGTAGGTGCTGATGGCCACTGAGCAGCCAATCGGCTTATCCTTGGCGTCGGAGGTGAAACGGCAGATCTGAGAGTCATCGATAGTGGACCACATCTTGAACTGAGACTTCCACTGCTCCACTGACACTGAGGAGTTACCCAACACCAGGCAGCGTTTACGTACTGTGCACGCTGCTGTCACGCCCACCAGAGATTTGCCCGCTCCTAGAAAGCGAATGGGAGATAAAATTAGACAGCTAGCTAGCTTTTCACACACAAGATTTATGCAACAAAAAGATTAGTAATATTAAGTTACAGTTTGGGTTGAGAATATACTTAAACATTAAGAAGAATCTACTAAGTAGTAGAGCATATCCATTGTTTCAAATATCAAATATTTGTTTAGCATTTTATATCGTGCATTATTCACATATCATATGTAGGGTCTACCATTTTGCCATTTCAAGATTGTTTATTTTGGAATGAAATACGTGTCCTTTCTGTTTTGTTACTCAGTTCCAATGTCAACCAGCTGTCTCACCGCAGGGCAGCACGATGACCCCAGAACGAGCACGACCGTTCCCAAACATCTTGCGCAGACTCTTTTCCTGGTAGGGCCGCAACACAGCAGTGGGCTTCAGGTCTATGTTGATGTCTGGGTTGACTGTATCATTGCGAAAGTCGTACTCTGCTAGGAGGGGGTACTCCAGCTGAATACAACGCTTCTGCAGCTCTTCGATCATCTCCTACACCAAGGCGGAGAAGAATATAACAGTTCAGAGTAGGACATAAAAATATGATTTCAAGCATGGTTCTTGATTTGAAATTCACCCACAACATAAAAATGACTGAGACTAAGAGACTAGTAATGATATATGCTGTCTATTGCCTTCTTTTATTTTAAGGACCAAACTAGTTGTTTTGTTACTTACAAATTATGCATATTACATACTATACTTGTATTACTGCTTCCCATTTTTCAAAGGCATTCTATACATTTGCCATCTTCCAGGCATCTGTGCAGTATACAAATCAGCATGAAGAGCCTTGATGTTTGCTTGTAATCGGTAATCCCTCCTTTCATTATCAGTCATTTTGATGATCATTTAAGTCATTCATCAAACATTCTCTAGTTCCAGGTCCTCAAACGTGAGGATTTTCAGCTTTACTATCTTTTATATCTTTGTAAATTCAATATCTTTCATGTTTTGGGCTGTTGGTCAGATAAATAAACTAAGCTAAAAAATAATCACCATGGACTCTGGGGAATATTGATTGGCTTTTTTCTCTTACCTATTTTCTGAAAATTTAAGCAATCAATCATAAAAATAAGAAACAGATTAATCATTAATAATAATAATTGTTAGTTGCAGTCCCAGACAATAATATTCGAAACAAAAAAAACCCCAAATGATTCTTGTAAGATACTGTTACAAAAATCACAAGCAGGATAGAAAATCAGTTTAAAGCCATATGCAAGAATGGTCAGCAGTAATGTTAAGAAGGCAGTAGTGAAACGGCAAAAATTAAATAAAATTAGATGTGTACCTGGCGAATCTCAAAGGACACAGTCTGAGTCTCTTCTTCCTCCTCCTCTTCTTTATCCATCTGCTCATAGTAACTGAAGATGTCCTCAGGGACTTGCTGGGTTGACGTTTGTCCATCGCCAGGCAGCTGTGAGGTGGAAGTACCTCCCTTTTCCTCAATTGACTTGGAAATCTGTCAGAAGGAGACACAGAGGGACATTTTTCAGTGTATGAGCAGGACAACAAGGCCTGACATGACTGTTCAGTTCCTACATCACAAGACACTCTTCCTCATGTCATCAAAATTAATGTGATAAAATGTGTGCATAATCCCATTTTGAAGAGTGACTACACTCAAGTTCAAAATCATGGTCGTGCTGCCATCTAGCAGTAGCTGCATGATTTGTCCTCAACCTGTGAAGTACAGCACATCACAATGCACTATAGTTTAATGTTACATGACACTTGGGTGTGACAGACATTTCTAAATATTCAAGGGTCATGCCAACAATGTCTTTCATCAAAAGAAGATTTATAATGGTGTTAGGAGTAACTTAACACATAAATGTTGTATGGCATACCGCTGACTTGCTGTGGATGACTTCAGTAATAAGCTCAGTGTCCGCTCCATCTGCGGTACGGAGACGACATTCACGGATAACGCTGTCCTGCAGAAGGCGCTGGATCACATCAGGGAAGGCACTCTCAACAAAATACCTGAGGGTAGATGGGCAGCACAGTTACAGAAGAGCGCAAGGTATGATTAATGATGCAAAGACAGAAGCAATGGTTGTTGAAATTACTTTTACCTATTGTGCTTGAGAACCATCTTGACTTTGCCATAGCTCATTGTGCAGAGCTGAAAAAAGGAGAGGGATTAAATGTAGTGATTAATTCAGAAACCAAATTTGCACAAATAATATTAGAAACAATACATTTAGAAATGTTACAATAACCCCTCCCCTCCATCCGCTTCCTTCAAAACACCAGATACTCTCTCACTCAGACCTTAATGAACTGTACAATCCCATCAGGTACAGATGTCTTGCTGAGCTTCTGCAGGTACTCCACAATATCAGAAGTCTGCAGGCCCACACTGACAGCCGCATACAGGGAATAGGCCGTCAGCTTGTACTCGTGGATATGGTTAGGCCTGCACACTGGCTCTGCAATGGCCACCAAGAAATCCTGGGCGTACTTATACACTGGTGAGAAGGCTTCCAAAAAGATGTGTCCATCTGGAGCCTGGAGGAAAGGAGAATGAAAAAAGCATAGGAAGAAATCCAAAGAGACATCCTTTATGATATTGTGTAAAATCAGGAAGAGGATCACAAGTTTTTAATTTGCCAACTGTCTCAAGTAATCAAGAAATCAATAACCCAAACACATCTTACCACCCATAGGGGGCGTGAAGAGTGATCATTCTTCAGCAGCATCTGAGCACGGTAGTCTTTGGCTCCATACTCATCCAGTTTTATACTGGACTCATCCACTTGTTTCCCTGCAGCAGCAGGTATGCCTTCCTGAGACTCATTGCCCACTACCTCCTCTTCATCGTCTTCCTCCTCATGGAAACGTTTTTTGGACTTCTTTTCTGTAGCCAGACAGTATGAGTTAAAAAAAACATTCTCGGTAATAGGGGTGGGCTCACATCACACATCACATCTTTTGCTATACAAGATATACATATATATACATATATCCTTCCTTTAATACAGCTTCTTCTGCTATTTAGTCATCTTGTTACCATGTATTGGATTTTATCATTAGAGGTCACAGGTAACTTACACATGTCCCTGTGTGGTTTATCACACACGCATTTCAGTCTGTACGTTAAGTCCATTTCAGTGTTTGTTTTTACTATTCAGTTTGACAAATATCAGATATGTTACACCCATATGGTACCTTATGTATGATCTCTTCGTTTGAATGTAATGATGTTACAAAAAGCACAACGTATCGCTAGACTCTTTACTAGTTACTATAAAAATATACAACGTTACGTTAAGCATTTCAGTTAGAAGAAACGACGAAGACCCGCCATCCCTCTGAACTACCCTTTCTCTACAACTATCAACAGACTCCCGTTAGACATTAAAGACCCCAAGTGCAAAACTACAGTGTGATCAGCAATACACAGTAGGGAAATGTGAGTTTCAGTAAAACGTAATCTTTCAGCTTGCCAAATAGTTAACGTTAGCTAACGTTAATAGTTAGCTAGGCTAACCCCTAGCCGTAGCAACTCACCCCGATCTCCTTTATCCTTTTTACCCATTTTACAAATTATTAAATAGGTAATATCTTTCAAAAGACGTCAGGCATATCTTCATAATCTGACTGATGTCCTCAAACACAAGACTGTTAGGTGTGATACAAAAGCTGCTACGAGATACGACCCAGTGCGGTGTCGTCTCCAGTACACCACAACAATAAAGAAACAAAACTTCCGGCCGCAGCCTTCAAAATAAAATAGTTTGCGGACGATCAAGAGCTCCGCCACTGAAAGAAAACAGCGTGCCAACTCGTCTCGTTTCTCGTGCTTTTATTCTTGCAGCACAATAGCTTCTTTCTGGTTTGCGGCTTCAGCCAGAGCTAGCTTGACAAAAAATACTGACGCTTCACTGTTTACTTCCGGGGGAAAGGTCAAAAACGTCCTTCGAGGTTCTTCTGGTTTATGGGACAGATTTCTTAGTTGAAAGTACTTGAGTGAGTTATCAAGCCATCAGTGTCAAATATGTCGTCTAATAAACCCGTCGGACCTGCCTTACCCCCGATGTTCAGGAAGGAGGAGAGCGATGAAGAGTCTGTTAGTGAAGAAGGATGTAAGTGTACGACAAAATACCTTTTGTCAGAGACTATCAACCACCTTTATTTTCGGTTAAATGTTGTAAATTATATCGGTAAATCACTAATATTCATATCAGGTTGCTTTCCCTATAGTAGTTAATGTTTTTTTGTTGTAGTCTCTGGCCCTGCTTTGCCTCCTGGTTATAAACGGGGAGAGCTGTCGAGCTCCTCGGATGAACAGGAGGTGGCGGTCAAAAGAGCGAAAACAAGTCACACATCTGCAGACAGATCTGCAGAAAAGTAGGTTCATTAATGGACTAGAAGTTATAGAACAACTTTCAACAAACAAAACACTAACGTGTCCTTTGAACAGGGAGGAGAAAACAAAGGTTAAAGAAACAGATGATGATGGTTTCTTTGGACCAGCCCTGCCACCAGGATTTAAGAAACAACAGAGTTCACCAGAAAGGTGAGCCAATTAATTCTACAATGTGTTTCAGTGTTTTATAAGATGTGTACACAGTGAGTTGTGGATAAAAAGTGAATTATGGAAGCTGTAACTTCATAGTGTTCCCTCAGGCCACCTGTGCTTGGACCAGCTTTGCCTCCTGGGTTTCGCAGAGCAGCATACGAAAACAATGATAATGATGATGGTGAAGATGAAGAGAGTTTCCCAGGGCCTGCCCTCCCCCCAGGCTACCAGGTTGAGTCCTCCAGCAGCGAGGGAGAGGATGTGATTGGACCCATGCCACCCAAAGGCCCTATTCAAGACTCTGTGGCTCTGGACTTTGAGCGCAGAGCACGGAGGATGAGAGACAAGCTGACAGGAGATGTGAGTCCCCCCACCACACACAAATTTTATCTGCATAGTCTACACTGTACAAACTCTTCAGTTAAATGCTCACAGATTGACCTGAGGAATAAATGTCATAGCATAGAAGCACAATAACAATGTTTAAGCAAAATATCTTGCGCTGTTCCTTTTTTATGCCTCTTAAAGTTTTCCTCCCCTGCAGTCTGAATTCAGTCCCATGTGTATTTCTGTGTAAACAGGACACACCTGAGGTGCTGAGCAGAGAAACATGGATGACAGAGCTGCCACCAGAACTGCAGCACATTGGCTTGGGGGCTCGAACTTTCAAGAAGAGGTCGGGTCCAGAGAACAAGGATCGCTCCATGTGGACAGATACACCAGCAGACAGAGAGCGCAAGAACAGAGTAGCTAATGAAAGATAACTTATATACTTACATTTATTATTGGTTATTCTTATCAATCATGTTGTAGCCTATATATTACTTCCCTGTATTTCATGGGCCCATTCTTGTCTAATAGGAACGCCTTGAGAGAAAGATGAAGGGTGAGGCGGAGAAAGAAGATATCCCACAAGTCCCCCGGAAGGACTTGGAAATGGCAGAGAAAGTGTCTAAGTATAATGTAAGTGTTATTATCTCATTATTATTTTTTCCTAAATGTCCCCATATAGAATTTATGCCATATTTAATGTGCATTTTATAAGTGTTCACATTAAATTCAGGATTACTTAAATTTCTCAACCCACTCCCACTCTTATCAGGAGTCTAAACGTGCTGAGTCTCTGATAAGTTTGCACACAAAGACAATGAAAGAAAAAGCAAAGGAAAAGGCTGACAAACCAGTGGAGAGGAGACCATTCGATCGGGATGAAGACCTTCAGGTGAATCGCTTCGATGAAGCGCAGAAGCAGCGGCTGCTGAAGAAATCTCAGGAACTGAACACACGGTTCTCCCACAGCAAAGACCGAATGTTTTTGTAAAAAAATTTTAAAATGTGAAAATGTGCCGACTACCAATTACAGTCTGGCTGGTGACATTTTTGCAAAAAGTGTTTGTATAATATGGAATATGTTTCTACAGATAGTCATGTGTTATAAAAATGAAGAATTTAAATTGTTGGTCTATGATATAAACTAAACTGAACTAAATAGGCTATAAAAACATGACAGACATGTCCACTTATGGGAGTTCATGTCACTGAACGGGCAAATAATACTGGGAAAACTGGTATTGTTCATTTAGAAAAATGTAGCACCATGATTCATAATAGACAAAAATACCCCAACACAATTGCAATGATAAATGAAAATTTACCCAACTGTAAGTGTATGTAATGACATAAGATAAATTATTGGTTTGTTAAGTACTGAATCAGATCATCTCCTTTTGACGTAAGAAGTTTTGACCAATATTTAACAAGCCCTTTTTTATGACTGCTTTTTGGCCAACCAGATCAATAAAAACTTTGGCCCTCAATGCTCAACCTTGCTAGTAATGCAGCCCTTTGTATATTGTGATTGATTTATTTGATGTTATGTAAAACTTTGTACAGATTGCTGGAAAATCCATTGTTATGTTGCATTATCCTGTAGCTTTGCAATCTTCCATTTGTCCAATAAGAGGCTTTGCAAATTTGGCTTGTGTTTTTAAGTGGATTAAAGTTTGTTTTTTTTAAGCCCATATGTGTTGTTTTTTTTACCTATGAATTCTGATTTTTGAGCGTTTAAGGGACGTACTGCACATATTTGTCAAAAATAAACGATTGATTTGGACCTTCAGAGTCGCCATACTTTCTTATGTCTTTTGCGCATGTGTGTCGCGGATGCATTAACAAGCTAGCAGAAGCATAACTTAAAATCATGTCTGAGAAAGGAGAAGTGGATTTAACTGGTGCCAAGCAGAACACGGGTGTGTGGCTTGTAAAGGTGCGTATATAGCTTTTTAATAACGCTACTTAATGGGATATAGGAGAAGTTATTAATTTAAACACAAAGAAGGCTACAGTAATGTAGCTTAGCATCTACGGCTAAAGAAAGAAACCGTGCATTTAGCTAACGTTAGCTAAGTTCAGTAACTGTCTGTTATCTAAGTCACACTAGTCGGAACTAACGTTACTCGTAGCAAAATTATTTTTGATGCACGCCATAACCCTTTTGATTTAACTAGAGACCATCGTTTGGCGATACAGCTAGAGTAAGATAAACAAAATGTGGTCAGAGTAACAGCAGTGAAAGCTTTGTGCTTTCTGGTCTGTAGAAAAGCACCTTGGATGGATGGAAGACTTAATAACGTTAACGGTTTGCACAGCATAATATGTAACTGCCAAAGTAATTTTAGTAATATAGTTAAATCCTTACTTCATGCCTTACTGTCAGCCTTCGCAGCATGTGAAATTGTGAATGAACGTGGCTCCAGACCATTGTTCTCCAGACACATTTAACACATACCAACACTCTGGTTAGTTGTATAACTTCATGGCAACAGCAAAAACACGGTTTTTAAAGAAATTTGAACAATTAGCATGTGAGAAATTACCGCATATAAAAAGGAATAGCTCATACTTTTATGTTAATACCCCAAGGACCATTTTCATACAATATACCAATGTTTCTTCATGCAGGTGCCTAAATACCTTTCTCAGCAATGGGCAAAAGCGACTGGCAGAGGCGAGGTCGGGAAACTCCGCATCTGCAAGTATGTGAAACAACTGAGCATCAAAAAACAGCCGAAGCCAGCCTGCTATGCTAAATATGTGCATGTCTGTGTTTAAGCCAAGTGATGTAGTCTGTAAGCATCATGTGACTATTACATTTGTAAGGTGAAGAGAGGGAATGGAGATTTAGTGTGTGCTGGTAAAGGTTTTGTGGTGAACTAGATAGTTATAAGTTTTATTGTTCTACTATAACTAATGCATTTCAAATAATATCGAACACCTTGTCAATCAATTAATTTTTTTCCAATTATTTTATCTCCAAGGAAAGGAAACCAAGGAAAAGCAGAGGTAAGTGATGGTTGAAAGAAGCACAATGCATCCTGGTGATGGACATCTGCCACACAGTGTGTCCTTTTGCTCATCATTCTCTATTTACTGTCAAGTGTAGGGATGGAAGCATTAGTGAGAGCCAAAATATCATCTAATTTATTATGAGTTTGGGAAATGGATTACATTATGCTTAGCCATTGTATATAAGAGAAGCATATATAATTTAATTTAGCTATGCTTATGAGAGTTTTGTATACATGTAGCAGTTCATTTTAGTTATTAGTGTATTGGACACCGTATAGTGGAAGCCAGATCAAAAGTAAAGAAAGGGGGCTGCAAAGATGCAATCTGAATGACACTGCTCTTTACAGGTGTCTTTCACTTTGAACGAAGAGCTGACTGTGATTGAGGGTATAGAAGATAAGACAGTGTCTGCGCCCCGCGAGCACCCATTCACCATGCAGTCAGTGGGAGGTCAGACATTGGCGGTCTTCACCGAGACTTCATCAGGTGAGTTTCTGTTTTCATATTTTGATGCCAGAGAAAGCCAAGTCTCTGCTTTCAATGCCTGTGCTGCAAGACGAGGCACTTGTAGTAATCCGCCAATTGTATTAGTTTTCCGTGATGTGAAATATCTGTTTATACTAGCACAGAGGTAAGTTCTGTGTGATCAGGTGATGGAGGTGCACATCCTCCTACTCTTTGTACAGCTTGCTGTCTTCATGCACAGTCTTTCCCTTGCCTGCCCTGCTTGTCTCTATGTATTGTGAACAGAGTGTAAAGTTGTCCACAGTTTTAACAGAGTACATACAAGAAAAATACTGTTCATAGTGGATAAGTGAACACTAAATGGAAAACAGAAGATAGTTTTTTGGTTTGTAGTCTGTTGGAAATTTGTCTTCATTCAGTCTGATCTGTGTTTCTCTCTCTATGGGGAATTTTAGTTTCATTGTTTCATCTTCTGTCAGTCATTTACTTATGGTTTGACCTTTCCAGTCCACTGCCAATCACCTCAGCAGATTGGGTATCTGCTCAGGCATAATGGCCCCATTTGGAATTAATTTAACATAGAGTAGATCAACATCAACACAAATCATCGCTGAATTTGGAGTTGATTTAATTTGAGCACGTGTTTCTTTGGTTTGAATTTCACCAACTTTGTCTGCCCTCTTATTGTAATGTAGGTGTTTTGTTGCTATGGGTGCAGGTGAGCTTATGCTACTGTGCTTACTTTGGGACACCATCGTGTGTGTGTGTGTGTCTGTGTGTGTGGGGGCTGCACAGTTGAAATGGTAGGCTATACATCTTTTTTAGCCATAGACATTTGATAAGTACGACTTGATATGAAACTTGGCCAGTTGCTAAAAGAAAAGTTGGACACAATAAGACATCACAACATACAACATTCAGTAGAGAGGTAAAAACTTTTTTTTTTTTATCGAGAAATGCAACATACAGTGCATTTCTATTTTCTAAAAATGTATCCTGTTTCAAATAATTTCAGTATTTGTACAGCCCTGTCATGGTTGTGTATTTGTGGTGGGACAGGGTATCTGTGCTCGCTTGTTGGTAAGGGCATGCTTGCTTTGCTCACACACACGCGTGTGTTCTCGTCAGAGATTACGCCGAAGAGCTCTGTGTGATCAAACGTTTCCGTGTGCGACTAAACCCTAGGTGTGGTTCTTATTGTTCGATCCCCTCCTCCCTCCGTCTTCCATCCCCTGTATTTTCATGTTTACCATCCCTCCCTCCCTTCCTGTAGGCCAGTCAGAAGAGCGATCTGATGGCAGCAGCTCAGGTTCGGGGGCGGGGGCAGGTCCAGGTGAGTCCTCCATTTCGCCAGCGAGTGACAAAGTTGCACCACTAGAAATCAGACACACTTGAGTGTCTGTTATTTTTTGTTAATAAATGGTGTTTGTACACTGCTCAAAAAAATAAAGGGAACACTTGAACAACACAATGTAACTCCGAGTCAATCAGACTCCTGTGAAATCAAACTGTCCACTTAGGAAGCAACACTGATTGACAGTCAATTTCACATGCTGTTGTGCAAATGGAATAGACAACAGGTGGAAATATTAGGCAAATGGTTCTGCAGGTGGTGACCACAGACCACTTCTCAGTTCCTATGCTTCCTGGCTGGTGTTTTGGTCACTTTTGAATGCTGGCGGTGCTTTCACTCTAGTGGTAGCATGAGACGGAGTCTACAACCCACACAAGTGGCTCAGGTAGTGCAGCTCATCCAGGATGGCACATCAATGCGAGCTGTGGCAAGAAGGTTTGCTGTGTCTGTCAGCGTAGTGTCCAGAGCATGGAGGCGCTACCAGGAGACAGGCCAGTACATCAGGAGACGTAGAGGAGGCCGTAGGAGGGCAACAACCCAGCAGCAGGACCGCTACCTCCGCCTTTGTGCAAGGAGGAGCACTGCCAGAGCCCTGCAAAATGACCTCCAGCAGGCCACAAATGTGCATGTGTCTGCTCAAACGGTCAGAAACAGACTCCATGAGGGTGGTATGAGGGCCCGACGTCCATAGGTGAGGGTTGTGCTTACAGCCCAACACCGTGCAGGACGTTTTGCATTTGCCAGAGAACACCAAGACTGGCAAAGTCGCCACTGGCGCCCTGTGCTCTTCACAGATGAAAGCAGGTTCATACTGAGCACATGTGACAGACGTGACAGAGTCTGGAGACGCCGTGGAGAACATTGCCTGCAACATCCTCCAAGCATGACCGGTTTGGCGGTGGGTCAGTAATGGTGTGGGGTGGCATTTCTTTGGGGGGCCACACAGCCCTCCATGTGCTCGCCAGAGGTAGCCTGACTGCCATTAGGTACCGAGATGAGATCCTCAGACCCCTTGTGAGACCATATGCTGGTGCGGTTGGCCCTGGGTTCCTCCTAATGCAAGACAATGCTAGACCTCATGTGGCTGGAGTGTGTCAGCAGTTCCTACAAGAGGAAGGCGTTGTTGCTATGGACTGGCCCGCCCGTTCCCCAGACCTGAATCCAATTGAGCACATCTGGGACATCATGTCTCGCTCCATCCACCAACGCCACGTTGCACCACAGACTGTCCAGGAGTTGGCTGATGCTTTAGTCCAGGTTTGGGAGGAGATCCCTCAGGAGACCATCCGCCACCTCATCAGGAGCATGCCCAGGCGTTGTAGGGAGGTCATACAGGCACGTGGAGGCCACACACACTACTGAGCCTCATTTTGACTTGTTTTAAGGACATTACATCAAAGTTGGATCGGCCTGTAGTGGGGTTGATAAGTTTGATTTCCATTGATGATTTTTGTGTGATTTTGTTGTATGAGTATTTCATGAGATTATTTCATTCATTCAGATCTAGGATGTGTTATTTTAGTGTTCCCTTTATTTTTTGAGCAGTGTAGTATCACAATAGTAAGCCACATACATGTTTTGGAAGATGCATTCGTACCAAAACTTTAGACCCATTGTCTTCAGGTAGAGCCCAGTTTTGCCCCAAAGCATCACACGGGCCTCTTCTGTTTTAGAGCACAATTGGAATTCATGTTGAGCTTTTGCACCATCTTTGCTGGAAAATGGGAATGGGAGTCTGTGGTTAGACTGGTGGACACTGGGCTTGAGCAGAGTGCTACCTGCCCAAGCTGATGGTTGTGATCCAAGTCCAGTTGTGACATTGTGTTGGCAAAGGGATTTAATGTCTTGACTGTTAGTTTAGATCTTCTTAATCTAAGTACATTAGCAAACATTTTCAAAACTACATGTAAATAGGCTCAGACTCTGAGATGTGATCAAGTGGTGCTTTCAATTATGTGTTAATGAATTGGGGATTTTTCGTGTTCTTTTACCTGCTCTGTATTTAAACCTAATTGGTGTAGATCACTCATTCACATAATTTTCTTTTCGATTGATGAAACTAATAAAGCTGTTGTATAGTTGGTCCTCAGCTACCATGACAAGCAGACTCTGGCTTACCCCTGGAAGGCCAAAGCTATATCTGAATAATTGATTGGTATACTCAAGTATACAAATGCACAATAGCATAGAAACAACTACACATGGTGCATGTAAAGAAGCCATATGAAAGAAACTGAAGAAATCTGTTTCTTCAGTTTCAACAGGACAATTGCACTGAATTGGGGAGTTTTTGGTAGAAGAAAGAGAAATACATTGATTAATCGGAATTAACTGTGGAAAGAATAACAGTAATAGCACTGTGTGTGTGCGCGTGCGCGTGCCAAGGTGGCCTTTTGTGGTGTGTGGGGGGGGGGATTTTTTTTTATATATGTCAGCTGTAACATTTGACAGATTATAAGTGCCGTTACTGACCCTTAAATGCTCTAACATCTTACTTAAGGGAACTAGACACATAACTAGCAAAAGCAAACTGTTTGAGTGTATTATTTCTCTCTGTAAACACGTTACCCAATCGTTCTATAATAGTGTCTCTTCTTTTATCCTTTCTCTCTTACACACATGCAACAGCTCACCCTTTCTTGTGTATGAGATAAACATGCACTAAATACGCATCGGGACATGTGGACTTCATTGAGGTTTTAATTAATTCTCCTCTTCTTCAGATAAAATAGCCTTGGAGGGAGTTGTAGTGCAGAGAGCAGAGTGCAGACCTGCTGTCAGTGAAAGCTATATGAGGCTGAAGAGGTGAGTATTTTCAAAATGGTGTGCAAACACAAGCTGGTATATTAAGGACCCGAACCTGCATTCCATTTGCAATGTTGGATGTAGGACTGTAACTTATTGTGTATGTATGTCTTTTAACTATTTGTGGACATCTTAATGGCATTGTTTCATGTGTATTGCATGTTCTTTTTTTAAATATGTCTCTACGTATAGATAAACTTGATTTTGAAAAGTAGAAACCCTTGTAAAATTAAATATACACTTTAACTCCTTTTTGTAATTTGAATAATTTAAGAATCAAAGGTAATCTTTCAAATTTTAAAGACACTAAAAGCACACAAATAACATATTATTAATGATAATGCAGAGCTATTGTATTAAATTGCAGTACATCATACAGATGTGTTGTTTTTTTAAATAGGTCACTCCGTGTACACAGTATCTGTCTTTTATTGTACTTGGAAAGTAAACTAATTGTCATCGTCTTAACAGGTTACAAATTGAAGAGTTGTCCAAGCCAGTCAGGCTGTCACAACAGTTGAAGAATCCTGTCACCAACAACTACAAACCTGTGGCCAACCATACTTACAATGTAAGGAATAAACCCTACAGGGGATCGTCTTGTTTCATTAATCTACTCAGTTAATTTTCATAGAAAAAAGTTCCATGGAAAATGTAGCCTGCACATAAAACCTACAGTTGCATGCTATGCTTACAGTTAAGTATTCACCATACATGAAACGCCCATGGATGCTTATTTTCAACCCGTTGCTACTAATAATGTATACTTTTACATTACTGCTAAGCATATTGTTAACCAAGGGATGAACTTCTTTTCTCAAGCAAAGTTCTGGTCTTTTTTCACATTTATGTTCCTACAAAATGGAAACTTGAGGGAGAGTAACATATTGCATTCTTTAGAAAATGATTACTAGTGTTTAAATGTTACTTTAATGAAGTAATAAACTTGTCACATGCAAAGCCACTGGTATGGCTCTGTAAAGTGTAGCCCTATATGCGATACCTGAACTGTCTGTTTTTTGTTTTTCTGCAGCTTGAGTATGAGAGGAAAAAGAAGGAGGAGGGCAAGAGAGCAAGAGCTGACAAACAGCAGGTGCTGGACATGTTGTTTTCTGCTTTTGAGAAGCACCAGTACTACAACATCAAAGACCTGGTGGATATCACCAAACAGCCTGTGGTAAGACTAGAGGGCAATGTAAAGGCTGTAGTTACTACTGTTTATACCGACTGATTTCACAAAATCAGAGATGGGCACTATTTGTCTTTACTTTTAAGTATTTTGTTATTGGTATTTGACAGGGCTGAAAAAGATACTTTAGAGGCGAGTCATTTTGTATTCTCAAAATACATAAAAACAAGACCTGGTCAGAATGTAGTATATGGTTGGACCTCTCATGAAACCATGAAGGCCTTTTTGCTCTATTTAACACAACCCTCCCTTCTTCAGTTCCATCTAAGATGGTTCACAGCTGCAGGAATAATATTGCATCTGCACAGAGGGCAGGTTAACACCAGAAATATGACTTTAGAACTTAAAGTCAACTAAATGGGCTGGTTGGTTGCGTCTCAGCAATGTCTGTTTTTGAATTGGACAGAGAGCAAGTTTCTACATACTGTACAGGACTATTTTCAATATTTTTGTTTTTCCACTTTTGCATAGATGCAGCAGTAGCATTCAACTTGATGTTCTTCCTTCCACTATGGTTCAAACTCCAAACAGCCTTGTGTACATTAGAAAAATCTAAATGTTCTGCAATCATGTACAAATTCAGAAGAACAAATCTGTTTTCCTCCTATATTGATACATTTAGGGGTATTTTATAACATACATTTTGAGAGAGACATTTTGGTGTATCTTTGCCCATTTCTGCACACTGTACTACTGGCCAAGAGAATTACATTTACAATAATGAATTCAAAATGTAGGCCAGAGCAAGACTTTTGATTCCTGTTTTTGATTAAACAACACTGCTTGTTATACCCTGAAAAAGCAACTAAATCTGGGTCACTTATCAGGCCATGGGTTGTCTGCTGGCCCTGATGAACATTTTTCAGTTTTACCGCAATCAATACAGTTGGCTATTAGAATAAAATGATTAAATGCTGTTGTCTACTGTATTTGAATATAACTCTGGTATCTCAACTTTAAAAGATTTGTGGCGCAGCTCTTTCTGTTGAAGGTTTTCATTATATGCAGTTGTTATAGCTTTGATTCACTGAAAGTATTATATTGATCTTTTCTAATATTTGTTCCTTTTTCCTTCTCCCAGATTTACTTGAAGGAAATCTTGCGTGATATTGGCATCTACAATGTGAAGGGAACACACAAGAATACCTGGGAGCTCAAGCCCGAATACAGACATTACCAAGGCGAGGATAAGACTGACGAATAGCTCCTGACCTTCCCAAGGCTGATACACCACCTCTTCATTTGATGGGGGTCCCTCCTGTAACAGGCCTTGGTTGGATGTGGGAGTTTTCTGATTTCCTTGCATCAGGTCTGGAAAAAGAACATGCTGGAGGATGAGGTTAACAGATGGATTTGTTTTATCCTTGTAGGGAAAATTTTTAAGTTGTACCCAAGTGTGCATCATTTCCCTCGCAACTCCAGCACAAAAAAGGAAAATCCCCCTGTAATTGAATTAGTTCTATCCAGAGGAACAGGATGTAGCATTTTAAGCAGATGCATTTACAAGCTGTTGTCAGTGATCAATATTCTGACAAGTATACAGAGGTAAGGGGGTTTAAAGCTTACAAGGATGGATGTGAGAGTTGGCTTTCACCACTAAGCTTATGTGCAGAGGAAGTTCCTTGTGAGACTTTAAATGACATTGTGCATTCCCCTTAATACAATAAGGTCTCTACAGCAAGACTTGGGAAAATTTTAGGTTACTGTAGTAGCCTTTTGTGCACCATGTTGCGTTAGCAAATGTAATTTTTAACATGTTTTGTTAGAAATAAATGTTTCTAAAATTTGTTAACCCTGTATTTTTACACTTTATTGTATCTACTGTAGTAGAAAGTACAAAGGCATAGTGTCTCATGGTAGACCAGTTGAAGATGTTTTGATAGTTTCCTTAACTGTTTATTGTAACTTTCACAACATGAATTACAGGGTTCAACATTGTTTAACAAGTTTAAACTTAAGTTCACAAATGCTTCAGAGATCAATGTTGAACAATTTCTTTAAAGTAGTGTCCACACTGCACATAGCATGCTGATTCATACTGCTCCAATGCATTATATGAAGGGAGAGAACTGTTCCATTGGTCCAGCCTCCATCAGGTCTTTCCAGTCTTGTTTACCTGCAAGGGGGAGTGGGGGTATTTAGATAAACAGGGCACATTAATGTCAAAGTCATGCCAACAGATCTTTTACAGCAACTAAATGGCAAAATGCTTTTACAAGCTCCCTGCTAATTATGACAATCAGGAATGAATGTCAAGTTTATCATTTAGTTTAGGAAATAGTCAGTCCCACTAAACATTTCCTGTTATCTGACCTTGGACCATACTGAACAAGCTGACATGTATTCCTCAATTAAAAAAACAAGACAGTAGCTGCTATAGAATGTAGCAGTCAGTAAACATGAGGAAGACTTAGTTTAGCATCTCTATGCAAACCCAGAAGCCAAAAGAGCCTGCTTCAGGTCTATCAGTGGATGCAAATTAATGTCAACCAAATAAGTGTTGCCAGAAGCGCTCACCTGCAAAGTATCAGTTCTGTCCAAGAATGCTCCATGTCTGTTCTAGCTGCTGCATCTTTGGCTTCGGCTCCAAGCTTAAACCTTGAGCCTGGAAAGGGTAAAAACAAGACATTCAGGGTCTTTACAGAAAGGTGCATGTAGTATATGCACATGTTTCACATTCACAAGTGGTTAATCAGTTTGTGTTTAAAATGGAGGTCCAAGCTGTTAGACATTGGTTTTATATTTATCCTCCCTGATTCAATCCGAGACGCCACGGAAAAGAGGCGGTCAGAAAGCGCAGGGACATTTAATATTGCATCTGATTTATTAAAACCCAGGATTTCTCACACCAGAGAGCCCAGGCTGTCAAAGATGCAGCTGGTGACCAGGAAAACCATTAGGCTTAAGCATAACTCTACAGTAAACACATTTTTACATACATTTTCACTCATGACTTTCACACTAGCCATCCTCTTGTCAGAGCTCTGACTGGTGTCAGCCATGATTTCACTGTGATATGCAGAAGTTTCAAGGGCCATCATCCTCCATCTGGCTCATACGGGTGTCCACCACATGGTATATGGTCCGCTAAGGAGAAGTTGACAAGTTATTTGCCAGTGAAGTACTGCAAAAAGCAGATACTTTGTTCATTTCAAGTTTCACTGAAAGATTAGCTGGGTTTCTAAAGCAGTATCAGCATATAAGGTATACAAATCCAGTGATCATTGAGAATCCAAGTTATCCCCTTCTGTAGGTTACAAACTAAGGGCACTTTAAAGACATCGGGTTTATGTGAATTATGAATTCTTGACAAAGTGGATACACTTCCAGTAAAGTTAGAGACGTAACGTTAAAATAAGTTAATCATTGAAATTCAGTTAACGTTAGCTTGTTTTTTAACGTTAATTTGCTAGGCTTGCGTTACGTTGACAGTAAGTTACGTTCAGCTGTGCAAGCTAACATAACATCGCCCACGAATTTAATTCAGTAAGCATTTATTTAGTATTATACAATAAAAATGTCGAGATTATTTAGTGTTGGCTATAATACTCAAGTTAGCATAAAGTAGCTAGGTGAGGGTACATTTCCGGTGCTATACTAATATTTGTATCTCTCCTTGCCTGAAAACCACTTTGTCATTCTCACTACCCTGAAATACTGGCCCCGTTTGAGTACCTGTTTCGCTGCCTTAAGTTGGCTAAGTCACGTTAACGGATTCAGACGACACAAAATGGCACCAGCTAATTTACACGTGTCCACACGTTGCCTAACGTTAGATATTTTTAACCGAGGTTAAAACTCTTAAAAGCTCCGTTAGCTGTTAGTTTTATTTCTCCCACAATGCAAGGCGTTAAATACTTACAACAGAGCACCTTGCTAGAGATGACTGGACAGCTGAGGTTGTTTTGCATTATATACACGGAACGACTCTCCATCTCCTGAACCTCTGGTAAGAGCACAGTCTGTGAAAAGACCGACTGGCTTTCAGCGTCCAGATTAAATAGGTTACCGGTTATGATCCATTTCCGCTCCTTTGGGTAAGAAGAGGGAACTTTAATTTACATTGTCGCCCACTAGTGTTCACAGTTAGACACGACTCATGTTTTCCGTCATTTCCATAATGCGCTGGATCGATGTTCACTCCGATAAATGTCCTCACAATCCATTCTCCCTGCAAAACAATGTTAATGTCTTTATTTTATTTTAAATTATTTTGTCACAAGACGTCAGTAGAAATAACGTTATAGTATGTAGTTTAACTGTTCTAACAATGTCCCAGAATCAGCTTTATTGGCAAAGTATTCTTGATCATTTCATTTAACTTTTGTGCCGTTGTTGTATATTATTGTCTTCTCTCGGTAAAATGTCGTGGTCCGTTGTCAAGTTTCTTGTTTGTGTTTTATTATTCTTGGTTTCTTGGTGCTTTCGTGCCTGGTTTTAAAGGTCTGTTGTAGGGACCTTGTTGTTCTGCTCTTCTGTCTGTTGTTTATGTTATGTTATTTTATTTAATCCCAGTACACATTCCCCCCAGGAGGCCTTTGTCTCCTGCTTGGCAGTTATTATAAATCAGAATCTGTTCTTAATGAACATGCCTGGTAAAATAAATGCATAATAATAATGTGTACACATACAAGGAATTTGACTCGGTTTTTTTGTTGCTCTCAATGTAGGCTACTTGCACACAGTTCCAAGAACAGTTTGCAGGAACATACATAGAAAAAGACATTCAGCTAAAAACAAGAACAACAAAGCTTAACAATGATAGGTACATATAAATATTTAACTGTAATGTACATAGGCCTATAGGTAGTAACATCAATGAACATCAACATATAGATACACAGTCAAACTGTTTCTGTAAATTGTAAACAAGAATGCAATAGTGCAAGAGTGCAGAATGCTGGAATAAATACTGAGTGATTAATGTAATAGATTACTTTATATACATGAAGTGGGTGGATATTTAAAAATAAGTATGTATGCATAGGCTACATGCCAGCATGCTTAAATTTTTCTTTGGCAATAATGATGTACATGTTAAAAAAAACACTACTACAAAACACTTTATGACACTTGCCAATTTCTGTATCAAAGGAAAAAAGCTTTTCATGAGGGTAAAAATTGATGGATTAATATTTAATCATTTGTATAGCCTTAATATCGTATAGCCTCTTTCTCTTTTTTTAAAGTCAGTTTGATGCAGGAATATTAAATATGCCGCAATCAGTTTCAGCCAATGTTATGTAAAGTAAAGAAATCAACACAGTTTCATTATGCATCGCAACATTGTTAAACTTTGTGAGTATGTTGTTGCTATCATTATTAATGTTATTATTTTGTCAATTATTTGGGGTAGTGCTGGTGTTATAGTAGTAGCAGAGTGATATAAAAATGAAGATCAAATGAAAAATAACAAAAAAAAGCTCAAAATAAAACATGAAATCATTAAGGGTACATCAAAAGTGGAACACAAGCCAAGCACGCATGTGCACGACGCAAGCGCCCGTCTCCTCTTCCAACACTGTGCAAGTTGACTGAGGAGGTGCAGCACTTCTTAATTGGACTGCGCAAGTTTAAATGTTCTTCCATCAGCTTCCAATGGATTTATGTGGAGACATGCAGGCATCAAAGAAGACTTAACATAAGGTAACTCAAGGCATAATTTTAGGATGGCAATTTTATTTGTGTGATTATATGTACTTATGATTAATGTCAAGAAAAAACATTCATTGTTATAGACTAAATAGTTATCATGGTATTCAAAAACCACCAATTAATTCTTGTTCTCCAACAGTGGGGGTAACGTTGCCTAAAATAATGTGCTAATTGCTACTTCAAATAAACATTTTGCTTAGACTTCCACAGGCAGCAGAGAGTGAAGCAACAGCCCAGCTATGTTCAGAGCAGTGTTTGGAACCAAGAGAGAAGGAGGAGGGAAAAAAGGAGACAAAAAGAGCCGGAGACATCCAGGTAAGAACAAAACCACTGAAACTACCTGTGCAACAGAAGTGTGTGCATGTCAGCTCAGTAATAAGACCAATATTGCACCTTTGGGGTTGTGTTTTTTAATGTTGCCTTAATTAATATTTTACCACAGTTTTTATCTTATTGAATATGCTTTTATTTTGTCCGTGATCACAAACATGTAGCGGGAGAGAGTTATCTTATGATGTACACACTATGTCTTTCATTATTTGATGGCAATATTCAGCTTCTCTTCTCTTGGGTGATTTAAGTAGAGCCATTTCAATTAGCCTAATTCATCAGTGTGTTCTGTCCTTCACACAGTGTCCCAATGCTTGCATTTAAAGTGTGTCAGGAGAAGTTAGAGTGGGTTAGGCAAACATCCTGACCTACTAAAAACATACTGAATTTCACAAGAATTTTGACTGGGCTACAGTTGAATGGGGAGAACCTGCGCACTTCTTATAAATGTGTTGTATCTGCTGTAAGCCAACTGAACGTCTTTGTACCATTGTAGTGAAACGTGAACTGAAAGGTCCACTGAACAACTGGAGCAATTTGCTGTTGAAATGAAACTAAGATGTTATATATTTTATATATTCACAGGCTGAACTTGTCAACTTGCTGCAGTACAGAGGAGATTTCAGACTGCGCAGTGGAGATAGATGAACATAAGTGGAGCTCAGTATTAGAGCAACCATGTTGCCCATTAATATTTAATAATTTGCTGCTCTGGGTTGCAAGAACAGAGAGGAAGACAGAGAACTGTGTCAGTCTCATTAAAATGATATAGTATATTTACAGAACATGGGACGGCTATGATCATTTGCAGGGAGATATCACTTCTCCTCAAGAGCTTATCATGAAAGGTTTCAAGGCAATGATCCTTCTACACTTTTAGGAATTATTTAACAGCATATCATGTGAATTTGTGGTGGACCTCTGAGTCTCTGTTGTGCTCATGGTGATAACAGCAAAAACAGGCTTGTTTAAAGTAGGTTAGAAGTGAATGACTGAATTATACCACAGTGAAAACCACAGCAATCTGGTATAACCAATGGAAGTGGCAACAAGGTCTCTGGAATCATCTGGCTTTGTGAGCTCTCATAATGTTGAAAAACAAGGTGAGGCTTAATGGCTACAATAAGAGTAGACATGAAAATGATACAAATATTGAACTGAAATATAGCAAGTGTAGCCTCTTTATTGAGTGTGATCCCATTACTTTAAATAGATGTTCTGGCATTGCTAACTTTCCATTACCTCATTCAGCAATATGCCTCCAAGGCAAGATATGTTTGCTCTGTCGCAGCCTTATGTGAGATGTATCTTATAGTGCTCTCACTGCAATATGTTAAATCTGCTGCGCAGTTCTGTTGAATCAACTCTGCCTTTTTAACAATGGGGAATCATTCCAAATGATGCTTCTTTAACTATAATACCTGCCCTTCTCCATGTTTTCTCTACACACTCACATCTTTTCCATGTATAGGTGGGGAGGTGTATGCTCACAGCACCTTGCAGAAGGGCAGTGGCGGGCGTGCCACGCACTTCCAGGGCCATGACAGCGGCTACACTGAAAGCCCAGTAAAACTGATGAGACTGACCAAGGGAGCATCTATTTCTTTACCATCCTCCCCTCTTCTCCCTCGCCAGGCCAACATAGTGCCCTCCCAGTCCTGCATCAAGTTCACAGGTGGGTGTAATTAAAAAAGCAGTAGTAATGAAAAACAAAGCATGGATTCCTTATGAACAACAGAGAATGACAATAAGCTGTGCATTAGGGAATAGTTGCCAACATAGCAGAATGCTTTCATGAGTGTTTGCCTTTATTAGCAGAGAGCTTCTGTGCGTTCAGCTGTTCCATATGACAGCAAATACAAGAGTATACAGATTGTGGCCCTAGGGCCCAAAGCCATGTGACAGATTGTCAGAGTAAATGATTGAACAAGATAACTTAAGGCAAGGAACCCCTATTAGGTAGGTCAATTTTGAGGTATTCTCTTTGTTTGGATCTATACATTGAGATCTGCAGACTGCTTTTAACACCCTGCAGCATATTGGATCTGAAAATGCTTTTAAATAAAAACTTAGATTTTTTCCCCCTGTGCAAAGAAAGTTCCAACCCTCTAAATCAGTACTCTTGATGGTGTCTCTATTTGGTCCATTGATAATTACAAATACTTGACAAAATATTGACTATCTTGCAAAAAAGTTCAAATTCACAATGGGCGTTCTATACAGGCTAAAGTCCTGTTTTTCTATGGCATCAAGAAAGCACTTAGTTGGTGGCCTTTTTTTTGACTGAGATTGATTTTGGTACAGGTTTGCAGCACCGTGTACAAACTTAAGCCCCTGCATCACTCTGCCCTGAGGTATGTCACTAATTCTAGCTTCAGGACCCATTATTGTACCTTATACAGCATGGTAGGATAGCCATTCCTCACTTTGTGTAGGTTAGAGCACTGGTATATTTTAGTATAAGTAAATTTGCTACTTACATAAGTCAGAAGTTTAAATTTTTGCTAAGCAGCCATAAGCTTAGCCTAGCTGTTTTACCTTGGTTCATCGTCCTGGAATAATATGCTCAAACTTAAGACCTTTATCTTTTAAAATTAGAATAATGGATGCGGTAACTGCTGTTTGCAGTTGCTTCATTTGTTAACAAACACATTAATAAATATGGCTACCTTGTTTATGCACTGGACTATTTATTTATATGTATTTTTCTGTTGTACGTATTGCTGCTTTTTTAATCTGATGTTGTTGAAGTGTTGGATGCTGCTATCTGACCATGGCTAGGTCTCACTTGTAGTTGAGATGAGTGAAATGTGCAGAAAAACACAATTTTTAGTGGCAGGAGACTTCAATAATTTCTTTTCTGATTTCATTTTTATAATGTCTTCTACATAATAATTTTTTTTGCCATATCCATGTGCACATTATTGTTTTGCTAAGTACAAATCAAAGAGATGTTATCCACAGTTTAAACACATTTTGAAACTAACAATATAGTTTGTGCATGTTCAAGGAAATGTTAGTTATTTGAA